TAGAATTATTTTGCATTTTATCTTTCTGTCTTTTATTTTAAGAGTTCTGGAAGCCAGCATAGCAGAGAACAAGGCAAGTCTGAAGCGTACCCACACAGAAGTATGGAGCGATTCACTCAACCCACATGACAGGAAGAGAATAGATAACTGCCCCGTTGGGCTGAAAAATGTTGGCAACACCTGTTGGTTCAGTGCGGTCATACAGGTGGGCACATGCACAAACACACACATACTCACTGATAGTCTAAAATCTTATTCACTGTTAAAAATTGAATTCTTTTTTTGTTAAGAGATTTCATTAGACCTTTTTTTTCTGTTTGTGCTCTAAAATTAGTTTGACCACTTTCCATTTCTCCTTTGCTATGACATACATTATTTAAGTTTCCTATTACCAGAGGATTTGGAGTCTCGAGTTTTGCATTTCTTAGTGCTCCCCACGTGGTTGCATTTAATTATAAAAATGCTGAGTTTTTTAGTCTTCTGTCATCTTAAGAAGAAATGGATACAAGAGTCATCTACAATTAATGTTGACATGCTAGAAAAAAACTGGAAAAGCTGGTAAATAAAACACAGCTGTCACAAAGACTTTGTTGTGTGCTGGATGAGTCAGTGGTAAACTGACCTGAGCTGAAAGATGCCAGATGGGCACTGGATACACCATCACATGGTGCCTGGCTTCTGTGTGTAATGTAACTCCCGCCCCTGAGAAGGCACCTGACCCTACATCACTTTGAAGAACAGGAGTAAACAACTTTCTGTTTCTGGTGGGTCTTGTATACACTGATCAGGCATAACATTACAACCACCTGCCTAATACCATTTACATAGGAGTTGATGTGACAGTTGGTTGGCACTCATGTCACTCTGCAGCTCACTGTACATCTTCTGTGAATCCATTTGCTTCCACTGTTCTACTATCAGGAAGAGCACAGATGTATCTACAAGTCAGTGAAAAACTTGCTAAAAGTAGTGAAAACTGTGGTTGTGAGGACGAGTTAGAGAGAATTTTTTAGACCAATCCAACAGCCTCACTGCTCTAGGTGTGATATCACCACTACAGCCCCTGACTCTATCTTCATTGAGACCAATGTACAGTATTTCTCATTCAAATAAGATTCAAATAAATCTTAATATTTTGAAAAGTAGAAATGGAAGTTAAAAGTTTAATCTATAGTAGGTCAACCTCATCATCAGTGAGCCGTGGGCGTCCATGACCCTGTCTCCAGTTCACCATTTGTCCTTCCTTAGACACTGTTGGTAGGTACTAACCACTACAGACCAAGAACACCCACCAAGACCTGCAGTGTAGGAGATGATCTGACCCAGTCATCTCACATTCACAGTTTGGCCCTTGTCAAAGTCACTCAGATCCTTACACTTGCCCATTTTTCCTGCTTCCAACACATCAACTTTGAGGACTGAATGTTCACTTCCTGCCTAATATACCCCACACACTGACAGATGCCACTGTAACAGATAGTCAGTGTTATTCACTTCACCTGCCAGTGGTCAGAATGTTTTGCCTGATTGGTGTACATCACTTTATAATAATTAAGAATCTTGACAGTTCTTATGTTCATATACAAAATATAAACATTATGACCTTAAGTGAAAGTGGTTAGCATAGGTTGGTCATGTCGTTGCTATCACTGGTGTTAAAATTTGAACTTTCTGGGGCCTTGGTGTGTGTAGTTTTTGTTGCATGACAATCACTCCAAACCTAGTTTGCCAATAAATGCAGTTTTGTTTGCTATGTAAAAAAGAAAACATTTAATAATGCATGAGCTTTACATGGTTCCTTACATTACTGTGTCACCCCAGATTATTTGTCAGTACTTTCACATGAT